AATTTGACATCTAATCATTTATCCCCTCACAAGAAATCACGTCGTCGACAAGTCGGTTCCTTTAAAGAGAACGGAAAAGTGCAGGTTCCCGCAGTTTGGCAGGTTGAGTTACACGGATCGAATGCTCCCAGTCTGCCCTAGATTCCCACGGGGGCTCCTAGTGCTCAGAATCCCAAATTCTCTCCCGTGAGGTGGATGCCGTGTCGTTAAGCTGGAAAAAAAAACGCCACCGGTGGCGAGGGCTCAGTCTTTTCCTGATTTAAGGTGCTTTCTGGGTTTCTTTGCCAGATGAAATGAGAAGGGTGACGCTGACGCCCATTGGCTGACAAACACTGAGGATGTAAAAAAGGGTGTGTGCTTTTTTTTTTTTTTTCTCTTTTTTCCCCCCAAAAAACCATTTCAAAACACCCGCAGCTGTTTCCTCCGAGGAAGGGAGTGCTGGTGTCCCGCAGCGACGGAGGGCGAGAGCCCCCTCCGCAAAGCACATGAATTTCTTCCAGTGCTTTTCCCACCGCAGAGAGGAGCCGGGAAGCGACCGGTGCTGTCAGAAATGATGCTTTGAAAGGAAAAAAAAATAGAAAAAAAATAAAAAGGCACAACCCTCTAGACGAAAAAAGGCAGCACTGACTTCTCGCCTCGCACAAGCTTTAGGATCTGGGAGGGCAGGGAAGGAGCTGGGAGCATCCCCACCCTGGCGAACGCAGCGCCGGAGAGCGGCACGTTGGCACTCGACGTCGTGGCCGTGACACAGACCTGGGCTCCGACGCCGCCGGGGGGGAGGAAAACCAAGGCTGGAAACTCCGACGTGCTCCCAGAAACAGTTCAGATTTTGCAAAGCCAGAAAGCGCAGGGCTGGAGGGCAGCGGCCGGGGAAGAGCGTGGACCCGAGTTTTTCTCTGCCTTACACCGAAGCAGAAATCCTTCCTGGGGAGTCCTCCCCGGTCGAGGCTGGTCCATGGTCTTCCCTGGGAGGCTTCTAAACCACCAGCGTGGATATCCCCTCCCGTCGCTGAGACAGCTCCTCGTTAACTTTAAGGGGTGCAGTTATGGACTTGAAGGTCAGGGATGATCCCAGCTGCCAGAGGATGGGGTTGGACGCACGAGAAACCAACACCAAGTGGGAAGGGACTGGGGATTTTAGCCCTTTGTCAGCAGAAAGTGGGGCTGGCTCAGAGCAGGGTTTTCCCTTGTAGCTTTTGGCATTTGCTGCAGGAACAGGGACGGAAAAACCTTCTTCTCTGACCAGAGAGTCCCTCGAGCAGCCCCGCCAGCTGCAGGCTATCGCTGCATCGCCCCACAAATCCATCCCTTCCTTTGCCTTTTGAGCTTCCCAAACTTGGAACAGCAGGTCCCGACCACACCGTGGCTTCCTGGGGAAGGAGTAAGGACCTTTCGCTTCCCCTTCAGTCCAACAGGCAGTTTCTTTCCCTAAAAAGGTCCCAGTTCCTGGTAAATTGCAAACCAACCCCAAAATAACAGTTCTAACCAGCTCCTCATGGGGAAAAAACCTGGGTCCAACTCAACCAGGGATTTGGCCACAGTCACAAGGACAAAGCCCCTCTTCGGAAAGCGCTCGGGAGGCAGAAAGGTGGCACGGGACAGGCAGACCTGATGAATCGGCTCTGACAAGCCAAGTGGTTGGCGAGCTGGATGGGGAATTGGCCAGGAATTTGAGAAAATGCCATGACAGAGGGTATGGAGACCCTGCAGAGCTTCTGCCCCACTGCGCCGGGCATCCTTGCCCCTCTAACCAACCTTCCTCTGCAGGGAAATGCTGTGCTGAATCCTCCCTCGACCGCAGCCAGGTCTTTCTTGGCCAAGGTCCTGATGTCACCCCGTGTCCCATGGGAGAAGGAATAAAGCAAAGACTTCATCCTCTCCTTAGCTCCAGCCGGGACCCCAAAGCTGCCCCCCCCCGGCCCGGCTGGCCCCTATCTGTCTGAGCATCGCCCCTTCATTATCCCATGCCTTGTGTTTGGGTAAAAAAAAGAAAAAAAAGGAAAGAAAAATAATTCTTTAAAAAAATAAAAATCAGGGATGGAGAGTGCATCCAGGACGGTGGGAAGGGCCGTGCGGCGTGTGCGTGGGGTGTGCTCCCCCCTGGATCCCTGCACCACGGGCAGGAATCGGTCCCTTTCCGCGGCCGGGAGCATCTCCTGTCCCCAGCGGAGGTTTCACATTCATGTCACTGGTTATGGCAAAGTCCCTTCGCTTTTTCCTTCAAGGTGCTTTACATTCAAGAGCTATTGCAATCCACAGCGAGGAAATGGGGCCGGGGAGATACCCCAGCCCTCCCCTCCCCCCGCCCCGGATTCTCTTGAGTTTGATTATTTGATTTAAATAAACTGCCCCAAACTTTGGAAGTTGAGTTCGTCTCCCAATTTTGGGGAACTTGAAGGGGGGCGGTGGCTCCCGGCCTTAGCTCTCCCGTGGGTCGCTGTACTGGAGCTCCGAGTTGAAGACCTCCTTATAGAGGGGTGGGAAGTTCATGGCGGTCTCGGGGTGCAGGAGGCGGAAAAATTCCAGCTTGTCCAAGTGCAGGTTGCAAATGGTCTTCATCAAGGGCAGCTTGGAAACCATCTGTGGGGAAAGAACCCGGAGCTGGTGACCACTGGGATCCCTCAAGGCCACTGTTCCCCCTCCCCTGGGGACAAGTGGGGCAATTTGATGACCATTGGATGTGCCCAGTGCTGGGGGTACCAGGGGACACCCCCCACCTTTGGGCAGCTTGCCAGCGTCGTGGTCTTGCCTTGAAACCCTCCTACAGGACAACCAGTGCCCAGAAGGGTGTGAGGAGTCCTCCCAGTGCCCCCCATCCCCATCCCAGCTCCGTCCTGCCCAAAATCTTCCTGAAATAGCTCATTTTGCCCCAAACCCCTGCTGCCCAATGCCCTGCCGGGCTCAGGAGCTGCCTCTGCCTGCACCGTGAAGGAGATGCACGGCCCATGGAAAGAGAAGTTCTCCTTCAACAGGTCCTGGGGTTTGCACCCCAAAAAACCCCCATGGGTGGCTGTCGGGCTCCGGCACAGCCGCAGCCACCGGTTGAGTCGTGTCGAGCCCCACGCCGCAGCCATCACCGCTACCTTCGAGAGCTTGTCCTCGGCGGAGTGTTTCTTCTGGATCTCGTGCTGCAGGGCCACGTAGATCTTGTCCTGGAGCTTCTGCACCTTCTTGGACTCCGTCAGCCATGGACGATCTAGGAGAGACAGCCAGCGGCCCAGTCAGGGCTGTCTCCCTCTGCTCTTTTAACCCTTCCTGCTCTGGGGATGTTTCTGGGGACAGTGGCAGGGCCGGGTGGTCCCTCTCCACCCCCCCCCCCCCATCCCGCTGCAGGGGATCCAGCTCCTCCTCCCACCACGGAGTTTCAGCAGATGTATTTTTTTTCCCCCCAACCTCCTTTCCCGGGAGGGAAATCATCCCCCAAGGAAGCAGCGCTAAGATTTGGGGGTCAGCCCTCCCCAGCTTTGGCAGGAGACCCCCCCCCCC